AATCACTATGAATTCAGACACAGAGGGTCCAGGCCCTTTCAGAAACCATAATCTGCTTACGTGCTAGAACATTGCTTTCTGTTCCTCACAGTTACTTGCCCCTCCTTGATGCCAGTATAAAAGGAAGAGAATGACACTGATTATTTTATCCCGCCAGCCACAAGACATAATCCTTATGCTTTGATAAAAAAAAACAAAAACACACACAACAAAAAAAACCCACCTCACAGCATGTGAAAGGTTAAATAAAGGTTAGTTGACAGAAGATGAGGAGCAAAGACCGCTAAATGAGAGATGAAAGGATTGGGGGGGAACGGGAAGGCAAGAGGATCAAGCAGACAAAGGGAGGAAGGAAAAGTTATAGAAAGAGAGGGGAAAGGCCATCAGCAATAACTGCTGTTAGCACACAGAATTGTCTTGATGAAATAAGCACGATCACGGGGTCACCACAACCTGTCTTTTTAAATTGCTCATTACAATGTATTTACTAGGCAAGCACTGCAACAGGGGCCCTGCCCATTTCCCTAGCCCTTTCCTTCAATATCCGCTAAAGCAAATGCCTTAGAGATCAGCTCTAGCTAATTTCCTTAAAGACATGCAAGCTGCTAATTCTGGGAAGTACAGATAGTCAGGAATAACAAATACAACCGAAATTAGATTAAAATAACCTGCTGATAAACAAATTACTCGCCAAAAATAAATATTGGATTAAGCACTGGTGGGAACGGGGATCCCTATAATAACATCGCCATCGTGTGGCTTGAGGTGCTGAGCAGCAGTGTCCAGTTTGGGCCATCATGCTGCCTTCAGCCTGCAAACCCCCAAATATGCACTTGCCTGCACTTATATAGCAGGTTTCCAGGTTTTTTCCCCTGGGAATGGTTTGCCTGTTTTATGTTGGTGGGAGTAATTTTGCTAAAAAGCAATAGAGCCCACAGCTACAGAGACATGGAGGGCTGCCCTTGCCTTCCACCAGTGCTCAAATGGGCTCCAGCTGGGGTATGCCAGATAAAAGAGGACTTGGCAATGACCTCTTCAGGCCTTAAGACAGAACTTGAGCAAGATACAAGGACAAGACACACATACAGAGAAGAACAAAGCCCAAGGAGGCTGAAGAAAGTAGCAGGTGTACCTTGAGGTGGAGAGAAGAGACTCTGGGAAGGATGCTGTGCCTCATCCCACCTCAGTTTATCTATAGCTACCAGTTTCTAGCCTTTATCCCCACCCCTGGCTGTAGTAAGCAACTAGAAATTGAAGAAGGAAGGACATACAAGTCTAACTCCAGAAAGCTTCGTTGTAACATCCAAGAGAAAAGTAAAAAGGAAGTAAAAAGCTCCTGATGCTCTCATGGCACTTCAGCACCATTATAGACATTCACCAAGAACCATGTTCTGCCTGTATAATAGTGTAGTTCAGTGAGAGGAAGTTAACAGCATGGTGGAGAGACAACAGATATGAAAAAAGCCAGCAAGGCAATGGAGGAAGGATTTGCTATGAGCTGCTTGCTGAGTGCATGTGGGCATGGCAGGTGGAGAACCGCAACCAGGAGAGTAGCACCAGTAAAGTACTATGGGGTGACTGGAAAGAGATAGGATGTTAGGAGTGAGAAACTGGCTAATGGTCAGGCAAGGAACGTCTTCACTATATCAGCAATCCGAGCTACTGCTGATAGATGCAGCACTGTCGTTAGAAGGGACCTAAACTTCTATTCCTCCATTATTTGCCAACTCTATGACTATCACCAATTTCCACTATGTACAAGGGAACAGGACGATCAAGGTCGTTCTCATCTTGCACTGTGTTTCCAGGCATTTCTTTGCTGTTATGGACAAAGCACAAGTTTGTACTCTTCCATCAGATATTTATCCAGACAATCTTATACTTCCCCTCTGAAACACGACAGCAACAATTTCCCAGGTACAGCTGGAGCAGTAATACTTTTTTTTACTCTGATGCCTTCTCTCCTGGCAGATCTTGCTTCTTGCCGTTATGCACCTGTTAAGTGGGCATTTAGCATCAGCTTCTGTTAGGAAAGAGACAGAGGCCAAAACGTTTCCAGCCAGCCCCTGGCTCTGCAGGTGGACAGAGTCTCAAGTAGAGCTTAAAGAAGCCTGAGGAGCTGAAGATGGATGTTTCCAAATCCATCAGGGAGACACACTGCCATCTGCCTGCTCCCTTTAAAACTACTGCATGTTTTCCCGTTGCAGCCAAAAGGAAGAGGGACAGTTTCTCTCCAGCACAGCTCCCTGTGTAACCGTAACCCTCGTGATTACTTTGGGCTGAGGCACTTAAGGATATGACAGCCCCTACAGAGAGATCCTCAAAAATAGGTGTGTTCTTCTCCTGTCTGTTTGATGGCCTTCACCCCCAGCAAAATTGAATCTCACCACCGTTTCCCAGCAAGTCTCCAAAGCAGCTCACAATAGTCAGTCCAGCAATTCAGTACTGACTGTAGCACATTCCAGGATTCCTGCCTCCCATTTAGTTTGTATTCCATCTAAAACATGCTAAATGGCTTCTGAGTGCTTTGCCATGTACAGTTTTATCCCTTTTTTTTCATAAGCAATTTTTAAGTGCTAGAGCATTCACCAGATTTAATTTTTAACTTTCCAAGAACCCCTGTGCCATTCAGAAATGCTGAGGTCATGCACATAAATAAGTTAACTGTTACAAACAAAGCTGTCCTGATGCAATCATGAAAAGAAATTCAGCTTTTTTCCAGCCATGGTGAATTTATCTCTGGAAGAACCAGAGCTGTTTTTCACATCTCCTAACCCACACCTCCCAAATGGCTCAGCCTGCTCATTTGTATGCAGCTACCAGAGCAGTCTACTCCAGAAGCCTGGAGCTTCTTGTGTCCTGAGCCACAGGACAAGGAGAAAACTAAAAGATGCTCTTGACCACTCTGCATCAAACTGTGGGAAACAGTTCAGACTGACTTCTGGGCTGTAGTGTTCTATTTGGTTGCACAGCATTGGCACCATTTCCCAAGACCCAGTTCCAGTGCCTTAGAAGAACATCAGCTGAAAATAGAACATGTTTTCCTAAAATCACTTTTCCACATAAGCAGAAGCTGGTGTTGCTGCAACAACGTTCTTTGCTTGTGAATGATAAAGGAGAAAAGGACACGCAACAGCAAACTGTGAAGGGTGTCTCCAAACGAAGGGTGTCTCTCCCAAGCAATGCCTTTGTTTGCAATGGTCAACAGCACAAATGAACTTGAAAACCCTAATCTGTACATCACTGTGATCAATCAGAGGGACCACTTTGCTCCAATTCTCATTTGAGTTCATTTTTTGTACCTTCTGTGAAAACACCTGAAACAACCAACCAGAATGATCGGTGTGTTCGTCCAGTAATGGAAAAATTCTATGCACTCCCAAAAGCACAAAAAGCTTAAAAGGAAAAAAACAGCTAGGGTACCTTCACAGCCTAAATTGACTGACAAGAATCACACAGAAAATTTCTAAGAGTAAATGGCTTTAAAAACTCTCCTCACTCCAGGAAAAAAAAAAAAAAAAGAGGAGAATTTGGAGCTGAATTTTAGATTCCCTAGATCATCCTCAGCTTCCGCCCCAACTTTTACAACATGTGTTTGCCACTCCCCAGGAGACTACATTTCACAGCTTCCCCTGGTAATTAGTCCTCCACTTCTATATACTGTTTTCATCTCTAGACCCAGAACAAGCCTCCAAGTAGAAAACTTATCCTATAAATACCTTGGGACAACATAATTTCACTTCCCATTCTTAGTACTTACCATAAAGCAGGAGTGTAGGAGAAAAGCTCAAGATGCCTGGCGAGCTTTCAGCTCTTACTCCACTTTTCCAGCCTATTTTGTAAGTGTCTTTCTACTCTGGAGGCTAATTTTGCTTTTGTATCACAAGCAGCTGTGACATAGCCCCACAACCCCTTTATTAAGATTTAGCCTCCAAACCAGAAGGTCTTTCCTTGTTGCAGTGATGTGACCTTTCAATCTAGGCAGCAAGGTTAATACTGAGGCATTATTTCAGAATTCATCACTCCAGCTGATGCAACTCAGACACGATCCCACCGCAGTGTGCTCATTTAGGCACTGTTTGCGGGTCTCTAGTTTTTACACAAAAGCATTTATTCCTAATACTATGAAAAGGAGAAGGGGTAGGAGAAGAAAAGGGGGGGGAGAGAGAAGGACAATACACAATTGTGATTTATTGTATACTAGATTATCTGCAATAGTAGAGTGCTCTTTCTTAATCAAAGCTTTATTATTAAATTCTGGTAATAAAAACCTAAGTGTTTTTTGGATAAAGGCAAAAAAGGGTAGCACGTTCTTTTCAGGAGCAGTCATGCCAGCAGCGTGTGACTGAGAAACCATGTTAAGGTCCTCCACCCCCCACAGCCAGGCGGTGCAAGGGTTAAGCACTGCCTGCCCATAGAGGGTTGTACCCTGGAAATCACTGGGTGTCAGCCCTGTGTCGGGTCTGTACATTATCAGACCCATCAAGCTTGCAAGGGAGAATAAGCTCATCTCTTTGGGACAACAGTTTTCTGAGCCTTTGCCAACGGCATCATTACTACCAGGTAAGCACACAGCACAACAGCCCCCCAGGACAGAGGGGTCCTGGTCCCACTCTCCAGTGGTGCTGGAACAGAGCAGTAAGCATTGGTCGCTGGCTGGAGAGGTTCCTCATTTCTTCCACTGCACCAAGCCTCGGGACAACCACTCTTCCCAAAATTCTCAAAATAAGGGTCTAGTCTGGTTCCCTCAGCAGCTTACTCCCAGGGACCTACAGCACCCTCTCCCAAAGATCTGGGTGTCCACAAAGCCATGGGACTCCAAGAATCATAGCTAGACATAAAGGAACTGCTGCGTTACTGCCTCTCTTTTCTAAGCAGTGCTCTTTGAAACTGAAGGAAGAGGGGATACCAAGGGAAAATGAGGTTCAACAGGATCATTTTGTCCAGTAGTACAGCACAGAAAGGAAAGTCAGAAAGAATATGAAGGAAAAAAACCTTACTTGATTTCAGCAAAGCTGCCAGAGCCTCAATGGCTGCCCTAGGGAAAGAAGAGAGATGGAGAAATAATGTCAATTTCTTGGATAATTTTTGTAACCTTCATCTTCACAGTGTTCTGGGCCAGGCTTCGCAGCTGGTCTAAATTGACAGCTTATGATGGACTTTGACAGAACCACAATGTTTTACACCAGCGGAAGATCCAGCCTCTGCAGCTGACTCAGTTAATTCTAAAAGACCATTAGCCCTCTAGCTTTAGTGTTATACTAATTTGCAGTGACCATTAGATTTAAAGCAACACCCACATATCCAAAGTAATGAAGCAAGTCTTAAAACTGTTGCCCTAGAGCTCTTTCTTTGTATCAGAGACTCAAACACATGCTCACTCCAGTCACCAGTGCCTCTATCTACATCAGTAGGTGACAACTTCTGCATCAAGGTGGGACACCCATGTGAGTATTTCCAGCCAACTTCTACTCTCTTATCCATTTTCCTAAAACAAGCTTCACCCCCACGCTCATTTCCACCAGCTTTAAAAAAAAAAAAAGATAATTTATTTTTTAAGTTGCAACAATGTTTTTGGCATTACAGTGGCATGTAAAGGTCCCCACCCAGGTCAGGACTTGTAAGAAAGATGCTAAAGCTGGGCAATAAGGCCACTAGCCCGTAGAGCTTAGAGAGTAAGGAGGTAGAGGGAAGAGATACACAGATTTCTGCTAACCTTCTGTGTCATTTCAACGTGCAGATAAGGAACCCAGCCTGCTTTGTCATTATAGCACTGATTTGAATGGGAGGTGGTCACTAACATTTGTAGCCTGAAAAGCTGAACTGAGACACCCTTTCTTCCCACCATCTGAAGGCAATTTTCTTCCTCCTGTGGTGTAATCTCCATCCCACTAACCCCAGAGAAGATTTTCTTTTCCAGTCATGTTCTGCTGGAGCAAGGAGATCCATGTTCTAACCCGACCTACTGCTGTGAAGTTTCAAGTGCCCACAGCTGATTAAATAAATATAGCTACAAAACCCTCCATGCCCAAGGATTGCTTAAAATGTAATCTCTTTACAAACCAATCCCCAAATAAAATCATGTTAACTTCCATATTGAGCCAATTATCATCCTGCAGCAAGATATAAATATTTTTTTTTGTCATCAAGCTGGTGTTTATTGTGTGTCCTAACAAAAGCTGAGACTAAGAAATATTCAAGAGCGGGTTCTTGCTGATGTTAGGTCAACATCCCTATCTAATGTCATTCTTTCATAATGAATCTGTTGGAGTTCAACAACAGCATCACAAACTGCAAAATAAACACAGAAATACAGACAGAACAGGAAATCAGTAGCTAAAAAGCTCACCACTGGAAGCACAGTCATGCTCTCATTGCTGCTTTAACTCCACCTAAACAGTAGTCATTCAGCTGGTGGGAGGAATCCTGTCATCCACCAGCTAATTGTCATGCTCGAAAAAAGGGACATGCTACAGCCACTGATCACTCTGTCTGTCCCAAATTTTAAACTCGGGCAAAAACTAAACAGTTCTAAGCAAGTTAAAATTCCATCCAGTGCATCTCCCAAAGTTCACGCTCAAGTATGTATCCTGTAAAGGAGACTACACAATGGACCTATGTTTGCAGGTTTCAGGTGATGTCTCAATCACATGCCACAACAGCAAAGCAATGAAGGACCAGACCAACCAGGAGAGATCTAAGGATTTCCCATAGGCATTTGGTTATTTTTGGGGGTGCTTATGACCACTGCAGAGTTTCAGTAAGCTATGCCACTGTCATAATGTCAACACTGCCAACAAACCTCCCATCAACCAAACAATCAGCAAATCTGGATTCCCCAATACTTTGGGGGAGTCTGTAAGCCACATTGGATAAACAGAGAACTTCATTCATCCTCAGAGGACCTCAGACATCCAAAACCATGTTCTTAGGTAGTGTAATCTCCTATTTGCCCCAGAATACCTAAAATCTTCCTGACCGTACCATAACAGATCCTTCAACAGCCTTAACCACCTGGTCATTTTTCTTCTCCAGTCTTGGAGGGAGCTGGTCTGCTATTTGTGCTTTTGATGTGACCTGGTAGAACGGGCTTGCACCTACTGTGCTTGTAAAGCTGAGAAACCCAAAACTATCACAAAGATGTAAGTAAATCCACCCAGATGGTACTGTGGGATGGAAAACATCCTGAAAAACAATAAATAAAAAAGTAAAGGTGGTATAACCCAGATCCCAGCACCACCATTTAGCAGAATCAGAATTTTCACAATCACCACCTATTTCTGAAGGAACACTACAGACCTGCAGCTGTACCTAGCTGCATTTCCCACATCCCAGGCTAATAGCCTAGACACATCCTCATCTCAGTCTATGCCTGTACTGCAATAAAATAAAGTAGAACCAAACTAGTACATTTCATCTCTTCAAGTACTACAATCCATCACAAGGGTTTTGGCATAGGCAATACGCACTGTTCTGTACGTCTTACAGCATGTACTCTACCGTTTGTCACAAGCAGGTACAGACCCAGTAGACTGACCTCAATAGTATGTGTTGCTTCAGAACAAATTTTGAAAGAAAAAAACAATTAGAGACATGAGGGCAAACTGCAAACCAGGTAAAAGAGCTTTAAGGGATAAAATGAACTTACTAAGAGTAGATCAAGCCAGCCTAACTTGATATTTTTCTTTCATAAGATAACTGATTTCTCTAGACAAGGGAAATGTGGTAGATCTAATGTATCTCTACTTTAATAAAGCATTTGATATGGAAATTATTAGTCAAGCTGGAGAACATGGGGATTAGTGCAAGGATTGCAACGTGGCTAAGGAACCGGTTAAAGAGGCAATGACAGGAGTCGTGCCAAAAGAGGAATTATTAGTCTGGAGGGAAGGTATGTGTGGAAGTCCTCAAGGATGTTTTGAGACTGATCTTATTTTATCTTTTCATTAATGACCTTGGCACAAAAAGTCAGAGTATACTAACAAAATCTGCTGACCATGTGAAGTCAGGAGCTACTGCCAATATCAAGGAGTTCAGAATATCTTTCAGGAGTAACAGGATGTTCTTGAGTTCTGAAGCATTAGAAGTGTGATGAAATGTGATAGTCAAAGTGCAAGGTTATGCATTTAGGGTTTAATAAGAATTGCTGTTATGAGCAGGGGCTCATAATTTGGAAATGGATAGAAGGACACCCTGGATATATGAGCCCATTAGAGGCTGAGGACAAGCATGACCCAGCAGGGTGACAAAACTGTGAAAAGGACAGATCAGGTCTCAGAAAAGCCTCTGCCAGTGGAGAAGGAAAAACATGAATGTTTTCATACACGACTTCACCTGAAGAGCTGTGTGCAGAACTCAGAAGGAACTGTGCAGAAAAGTGCTAAAGAAATCATTATGGTAAGGGAGATGTATCTCACGAGGAATCTTAAAGATCACAGTTTTGTCACCTTAGCAAAATGATGGTTAAGAGGTGACTTGATTGTTCTCCATAGACACACTGGGTGGGGGAGAAGTAAACACTGAGGAAGGCAGAGAGCTACTTAAGCTGAAGAACAGAGTTGGCATAAGGACAAATGGTTATAAAATGGCCATGAATAAATTTCAACTGGAAATTAAAGGATAGTTTTTAAGCACTGGAAAATGAAGCTCTGAAACATCCTCTTGGCAGTGATGGGAGGAACAACCTAACGACTTTGAAAAGGGAGCCTGAATTGCTTATAATGGGAGGGTTGGCCTCAGTTGCCAACAAGAAAAGGGTCTGAAAATAGTGACCCAGGAATGACTGCAGTCCTATATCCCTATATTTTAATCATAGATAAAATGGAAGTAGAATGCCTGCTTTCTCATTTCAAGCACAAAGTTAACTAGCCAGGCCAGAACAGAACAGCTGCACCAGCTAAGCCGAAAGTCCAAATAGTCTAGTATCCTGTGGCCAACAGTAGCCAAGGGAAGAATATGAAACCACAGCAAAAACACAGTGCTAGAACTTCCAGAACAGACTCAGACTCCAGCAACTTGCAGTCCAGAGATTTCATAAGCTAGCAATGGTGCCTTTGGGAGGCTTTTTAGCTCTTACTGATTTTGCTTCCATATATTTGCCTAGCCACTTTTGAACTTATGCAAGCTCTTAACATCCACAATTGTCCTGGGAAAGGAGTTCACACCTACACTGCGTAAAGAATTATCTAACTGCATTTGTTTTAAGTTTGGACTTCAAATCAGCATTGTAATTTACACTTTAAGTAAGCTGTCAGCAAATATCCCCAGAATATTACCTGTCTTTGATGCTGAACAAATTCAAACATACAAAACACCCTATGGGAAACAAAAGAAGCCATTAGATGAAGAATACAGAATGGACTTTCACCAAAAACAGGAGCAAGCTGATGGGTGCATCAATAGGCTTACAGCAAGCCAGGCAAATGGTGTTTGCAATATCAGCACCTCTTAACACCATATGGCAAACCAACAGCATATTTTCTGGCATCAGAAGATATGATGAGATGACTAAACCTGGGACAGGGAGACAGAGAGAAAGGAGATAATAAATTGTGCATGAGAGTAAATGGGGGTGGGGGGGAAGATGGGAACAGGAGGAAAAGTTTAAGAGCACAAGAAATATGACTTGATGAGCCATATGCTAGACCAGAGAATTTGATAGTGTGCCCAGTGTGTAACTCTGCATTTGTCTCAAGAAGGAATGGGGGGAAAATAGAAATCATTAAAAAAACCTGCCAAACCTGTCCAGATGCCTTCCTCTGATTTTCTGTTCTTTGTGGTAATACGTTAGTAATATCTTAGCTGCTTTGTCAATCCCAGTGTATCTCAAAGGAGAGTCATTTATATATTTTTAAAAAAATAATAAAATAAATAAAGTTGCCCTATCTTAAAAGGCATAATAAGAAATGCTGCTCCATAATCAGAAAACATTCAAAACTCCCTGTAGTAGCAGTCGAGACAGGCACTCTGAAGAATGGAAATCTTTGAAGTGTTTCCAAGTCAGCAGCTTGGATATCAGGGCAGGAGTACAACTCGCAG